TTTCTATAATGGATAAACCTGGCCATGTGCTAAAAGGCAGTGTAAGTAAGTGTTGGGAGAGGAGAGAGCTTGTAGCTATCAGTACTAACAGGATGGCCACTTATGCATAACAGATAAATGGTAGACAGTCTGTTGAGGGAGAAATAAAATAATTGCTTCTAATAAAAAAATTCATAAACTTCACATGACAAAGGAAGAAAACTTCTTTCTTTTGTTCTTTCTTTCTTTCTTTTTCTTTCTTCCTTTCTTCCTTCTTTCCTATCTTCCTTCCTGTCTTCCTGTCTCCCTCCCTCCCTCTCTTCCTCCCTCCCTCTTTTCCTACCTCCCTCCCTTCCTTCCTTCCTTCCTTCCTTCCTTCCTTCCTTCTTCATTAATTTTTTCTTTCCTTCCTTCTTTCCCTATCTTTGTGTTGTTGGAGATTGAACTCAGGACCTTGGACAAGCTGAGCATGTGTCCTACCACTAATCACCATAGATTGCTAACCATGTGTTCTACTACTACTCACTACAGATTATTTTTTTAAGAGCTGAATTTGAGACTAGTTGCTGATTCTTAAGAGGAAAATAGCAAGTATGTAGAAGCCATTTTGCTAAAGTAATATCATATTGATAGACATAAAACAGTTTAGCTAGTGTGATCATTCGTTCAGCATTTTTTTTTCTTTTTTACTGCAAAGAGGCTGAAAGCCCTGGGCATAAACCTACTGTCATTAAATGGTCATATCTTACCTGTGGTAACTGAGTAGATAAAATCCAGTATATACTAATTAGTAATTAATTAATTGGTTACTTCATTAATTTAGAAGATTCTGGGTTTGTTATTTTTGGTTTTCTTATTACTAAGCAGTTTTTACAGAGGCAACAGGACAAACAGCCATACTATTATCATTTGTGCTTATTCTCTAGTTGCAAATTACTAATAAAGAACAAATAATAATGAAATAAGAATTTTAAAATATTCCAACACTGATGTGGGGTTGTAACTCAGTGTGGTCCACTCACCTACACTGCACATGACCCTGGACAAAACAAAAAAAAGTTGCATTTAAAACAATTATAGAAGCAGCATGAGAAAATGTGGCAAACGAACAATGAGAAAAGCGTGGCTGAAATTAGGAAAGCAACTCCATTCGTAATAGCCCAACAAAAAAAAAATACCTAGGATTTAACTTAACCAAAGAAGTGAAGGACCTCTAAGATGAAAACTTTAAAAACCTGAAAAAGGAAAGCAAAACAAAACTTAGAAAGTGGAAAAACCTCCTATGCTCCTGGATTGGAAGGATCAACATCATGAAAATGGCAATACTTCCCAAGGCTATCTACAAATTCAATGCTATACCTATCAATATTCCAACCTCATTCTTCAAGGAAATAGAAGAGGCAATCCAAAAGTTCATATGGAACAATAAAAGACCCCGAATAGCAAAAAATGATCCTTAACAGAAAGAATGGTGCTGGAGAAATATCAATACCAAATTTCAAACTCTACTACAAAGCCATAGTAATGAAAACAGTTTGGTACTGGCACAAGAACAGACCTCAGGACCAATGGAATAGAATTGAAAACCCAGAAATGAACCCACAGACCTATAGCCATATAATCTTTGATAAAGGAGCTAAAAAAATAGAATGGAAGAAAGACAGCCTCTTCAGTCAATGGTGCTGCCAAAATTGGTTAATCACTTGTAGAAAACTAAAGCTAGATCCTTATATATCACCCTGCACCAGAATCAACTCCAAATGCATCAAAGACCTCAGAGTTAAAAAGACACTCTGAAAACATTACAGGATGGAATAGGAGAAACCCTAGGTCTCCTTGGCACAGGCCAAAATTTTCTTAATAGAGACCCAGAAACACAACAAATCAAAGAAAGATTGCACAAATGGGATTGCATGCAATTACAGAGCTTCTGCATGGCAAAGGACATAGCTAGGAAAATCATTAGAAAGCCCACAGACTGGGAGAAGATCTTCACTAGCCATACAACGGGCAAGTGTCTCATATCTAAAATATACTTGGAACTAAAAAAATTAAATCCCCCAACAACAAATCCTCAAAGAAACAACTGCCCAATAAATAAGTGGGCTAAAGACTTAAAGAGAAACTTCTCTGAAGAGGAAAGGATGATCAATAGACACATGAAGAAATGCTCAACCCCCTTAGCCATAAAAGAAATGCAAATCAAAACAACATTGAGATACCACCTCACCCCAGTTAGAATGGCTATAATCAAGAACTCTAATAACAACAGATGCTGGAGGGGATGTGGACAGAAGGGAACCTTACTGCATTGTTGGTGGGAGTGTAAACTTGTTCAACCACTTTGGAAAGCAGTATGGAGGTTCCTCAAAAGACTCCACATAGAGCTCCCCTATGAGCCAGCAATCCCACTTTTGGGCGTTTACCCAAATGATCACAAACAAGGTCACACTAAAGCTACCAGCACAACTATGTTTATTGCATCATTATTTACCATAGCTAAGATATGGAACCAACCCAGATGCCCCTCAGTAGATGAATGGATCAAAAAAATGTGGTATATATATATATATATATATATATATATATATATATATATACACATATACAATGGAATTCTCTGCCTCCATCAGAAAGAATGACATGGCCCCATTTGTTAGGAAATGGAAAGACTTGGAAAAAATTATATTAAGTGAAGTAAGCCAGGCCCGAAGAAACACAGGCCCCATGGTTTCCCTTATTTGCAATAATTAGTATATGTCTGAGACAACCAGAAAAGATGAGATAAGTTGATGTTAGGCAAAATGAACCCCAAGATAAGTATTCAAATGTTTTTTCTTTCATGTGATTGTTTCTAACATATTTATAAGATATTTCGTTGTTGCTTTGTATGTCCCTCCCCCACGATATAACCCCTGCTTTCACTGTATTTGATGTTGGTATAATTTGTGGAGGGGAAGGGAAAAAACAAATTGTTTAAATAAGGATACAGGTGGACCTATTGCAACAAGGATATGTACAAGTCGTTATGGTGAAAAACGAACTTTACAACTTTGGCGTTCCTGGGGGCGGAGGGAGACAGGCCAGGGGAGGGGGAGATGGGAAGGGATAGAAGGGGAAACAAAAGAGGAGGCAACAATGCTTGATAAGAAATGTGCTCATTATCTTGCCCATGTAATTGTAACTCCTCTGTATGGTATTTTCACAATTGAAAAAGAAAAGAAAAAAAAAGAAAATGTGGCAAACATTGGATTTAAATGTACACCCATTAGGTAGTAGATGTCTTTTCTTCTTTGTAATAATTAAAGTTTACAAAAAAGTGTTTACTTCTTCACAATTACACCTTGTTTTGACTTACATAGAACTAAATTAAAAGTGAATTTCTACTAATGTTCAAATAAAAACCTCTTGAGACTTTCAGAACTGGCACCAGAAAAAAAATAGTGTAAAATGAGGTGGAGGTTTATTTTAATAATAAGCCACCCATCTAGGAAGCAGAAGGTCCAGGTTCAAATCTCAGTACAAGAAAGAAAAGAAGGAAGCAGCAAGCAAGTAAGCTAGGTGCTGGTGGCTTATGCCAATAATCCTAGCTACCTACAAGGCTGTGATCTAAGGAACATGGCCCAAAGCCAGCCTGGGTAGGAAAATCTGTGAGACACGTTTTTCTTTTTTAATTGTAAAGGTGATGGACAAAGGTGTTACAGTTACATAAGTAAAGTTCTTTTGGAAAAGTGTTACCTCCTCCCACATTTTCTCTTGCTTCCCCTCCGTCCATGGGACTCATCTCCAATAAACCTCACAGAAATAGCTAGAAGTGGCACTGTGGATCAAGTTGTACAGTGATAGCCTTGAGCAAACAAAGCAGCTCAGGAACAGCACTTCGTCCCTGAGTTCAAGCCTCTAGAACCAGCATAAAAAATAATAAGGAACAGGAAACGCTTGCTTTTGTTTGAAAGACATATCTGGTTCATTAAATGTGTGAAAAGCATGTCAGTAAAGCTTTGTACAAATTTGTTAATTCAGAAGTATAAATGTAACTGGCACAATTATTTAATTTCTTATATTCTGTTCAAATTTTCAAATAACAAAGTAGTAGATACTTTTGTTTACAAATAAGAATAAGAAAAAATAAACAAGAATACTTTAAACCATTTTGGTGTTTCTAAACACTGAAAACACCAATTAAATGTTTAAAATTGAGTATGTATAAAATAAGTTCACTTTCCATATTAATAAAAATGAAACCTTGTCGTCGAAGAAAATTACATGGGTGGAGGAGATTCTTTTTTGTTCTTATTTATTTATTTATTATTGTGAAAATACTGTACAGAGGGGTTACAATTACATGAGCAAGATAATACATTTCATATCAAGCATTGTAGCCTCCTCTTTTGTTTCCCCTTCCCACCCTCCCCCCCCACCAAAGTTGTAAAGTCCGTTTTCGACATAATGACTTGTACGTCTTATTGTTGCAATGGGTCCACCTGTATCCCTATTTAAATGTTTATTCCCTTCCCCTCCACAAATAACAACAACATCAAATACAGTGAAAGCAGGGGTTATACCATGGGGGAGGGTCATACAAAGCAACAAAGAAATCATCTTATGTGTTAGAAGCAATCGCATGAAAGAAAAAAACATTTGAATACATATCTTAAATACCTCTCTACAAAGTAACTAACATCCCTAGGAGAGGTCCAGACTTTGAAAATTAGTGACATTGGTCGGCTCAAACCAAGATTCTCCAAAGGATGAAATGATTTGGGCAGTGCTAGAGTTCAAGGGGAAAGCACGGTGAATGGACTGACATCCGTCTGAAAGATTGGGCAAGTGGAATTGGATGTGGGGATCTACAAGGCCCAGAAGAGTGAAGGATGTGCTACTGTGGAGGCAGGGTAGAGGGGTGCAGCCTCTCCTTCCCCCGCCCTTCCCTCTCTCAGAATCCCTTTGTGATGAGGAGGCCACATCACAGGTGATTGAGTCTGTGATGCAACAGTGAGCATCACTGCCTGCTCCTGAAGGCAACTCCCAGAGCTCAGTTGCTCAAGAGCGACAGTGCTATTCAGATGATGGAGAACTTTCTCTTTAATCTGAAGAGCGACAATACCCCATGGCTGAGCCCCAGCATCACCACAGCGGCAATGGATTTGATCCTTGCCTTTCTGTGTGGACTGGGGCTCTTCTACCTAATAACCCTTTACATACCGAGTAACCCACCGTTACCTCCACCTGAGACACGGAAAAAGCCCAGGAAGGTAAGAGCCCTCGAGCCAGACACAGCAAAAATAACCGTTTTTTTTTAAACTGTCACCTCCCCTTTTGCAAATCAAGCAGCACTGCTGGGACAGGGCAGGGTTACAGTAGGCATGAGGTCATCTACTGAGCTCTCCATCCACCTGTATAGTGGTCAGCAAGTGCCAGAAAGTGCAAGAGTAAAGCCAAACTTTACTTGTTGCTGACCAAGGACTAGGATCCTAATCACTGGCTACTTGAGCACTGGCTCAGTTGTCTCCTTGTCAAGGCAAATGGCTGAAGGCCACATCATTACCCAAGGATAGGTTGGTATAAGGGCTGTGCTGAGTCCTTGAGAGGCTTTGGTCAGAAGCTGGAGTAAACTCTGGCCTCAGAAGCAAAGGTCAAACTGGTGGCTATGAGGTACCTGCAGAGATGTGGCCCTGAGCACTGAGGGTGTGCATGGGGAGTCTTAACTTTACATAGACATTCCAATGTGTTGTTCAGGAAGACAGGCAGAAATCAATTTCACCTGCACTGAAAATAAGAGAAGGAAACAGGGAAAGCAGAATGTAATATTGTTCAGGAAGTGTGAATATCTGTGGCATGTCTAGGGTGAGGAGAGGATCCAAGTCTCTGTCTTTGTCTCTCAGTGTCATGTGGAGAAGAGAGGTCATATCAAGAGCCGGAGGAAGAGCAGCACCATGAAAGGTAGGCTCCTTCCTTCCTCCTAATGGGAGAGGAGATTGCTGGTTTCTGACAAGAGCCAGGTTTTGGAAGAAGTAAAGGCAGTGCCCTTCGAGAGAGGCTCCTACAGTAGACATCAGACATGGGGACACTTCTCAAGTCCTGTGTTTGGAATGAAGCTGCAGTGGGCCATGGTTGGATGGAGCCTAGGGAGGGTGGCTGGAGACTGGAGAATAATACTGCCTTGATTCAGAGGTGGGACTTTAAGGCACAACGTGAACTGATTTTCAGTTTCCTAATACCCAGGGGACAAGTTCTTCTTCCCCTACAGCAGGTTCTGAAGGTCCTGGAGATTGGGAGAGCTTGACATACAAGGAACCAAGTGCTGCCCCTCTGCTTTGCCTTCCTAGCACTGTGGCTGTGGACAGAGGCTTGCAATCCATTTTTCTTTCTTGTTTTTACTAGGCAAACTGCCATTTCAATCATGCCTGCCTTCAGGGCCTTTCTGCATTACATACTTTTGAGATAGTTTCACCTGACATGGAAGCCTGTCTAGCCTGAGTTTCTCCTACTTGTGCTTCCCTGTGTCTGGAAATGACATATCAGGATAACAGACACCACTTACAAACTTCTTTTGGCTAGGCTGGCCTTGAACCAGAATTCTCTAATCTCTTGCCTCCCAGGTAGGGCTACATGCTTGATTTACCATGTCTAGTTTCAGATTCCAACAGTCTCTTGCAAAGAGACATTTCATTTGGCCACCTGTAAGAACCCTGGTCCCTTCCTTGTCTGCCATAACTCCTGGCTCTGTTTCTAGATCGAAGTTGTTCCCGGGAGCAGCTGGAAGAGATTTATGACCTGATTACACTTCTAACTAGGTAAGGATTTTCCACCTGTCCCTTTGCCTGAATTTCTACTCTAGTGAATGGGGTTGCCACGGGGCTGGGGAAGACTTCAAGTTAGTCTGGGGTATTACTGAACACTCAGGACGCAGGGTAGTAAGGGCTTTGTAGAACTTAGGTATGAACAGCAGGTACCCATGCTTGCTCTTCTTCTCCTTCAATCGGAGCCTGTCTTGCTGATTGCAGTCTATGCCTCCTGTCTCCTACAGCTACATAGGAAAGCTCCATGACAGCAGCAGCTTTCATGATATCTTAGGAGGAAATGGCCTGGGTGAAATGCTTGATTCAGAATGTTCTGCAGATCATCAGTCATCCTGGCAGACTGAGGAGGATAGTTTTACCAACACTGTGTTCCCAGTGGCCTCCCCTGCTCCTTCAACTGACTGCCTAGAGCCTTTAGACGTTCCCTTGTCAACAGTGCTGATCTCTTCCTCAGGTTCTCTGGGGTCACACACATCCCAGAGTGTGTTTCAGCCTCCAGAGACTTTGAATCTTCTTGGAGACAGTATATCCCCACCTATACATTCTTCTAGCCCAGTTTCTTCTCAACCTGTGGCCTGCCCTCCTTCCATGCCTGATCCAATCCTGGGTTTTTCTCCTTGTGATTTGATGGAAACCCCACCTGGTACCACCCCACCTGCTACCAACCTTGACATCCAGGAGCTGTTGGAGACAGAGATCAGTAATAAACCCACACTGGATGTTTGTCAGGGGAGGGAAAAGGAGGGAGAAGACAAGGAGGAGAAATCTCTGAGGAATATACTAAGCTCACTGGACAGTGAGCAAGACACTGCTACCCCACAATCCTTTTGCAACACAAAAGGAAAACCAGAACAGCTTGCTCGTCCCCAGCAGCTCATTTTATCCGGGATATCTGCTAATCACTTACGGCAGGATGGCACCCAGCTTTTCTGGGGCCTGCCCTCTCTGCACAGTGAGTCCTTGATGCATCTTTCCTGGAAGCAAACGAGGTCATCCTCTGTCCAACGTCTATCTTTTGCATTTAATTACATTTGCTCAACTGAGCCTCAACCTAAAGAGGCTCCACGTCTTTCCCAGGCAGAGACCCTGCGCCCAAATATGGATGAATCTGAACGTTGGTCACAAAACATTCCACCAACAGTATCTCAGATCCACACTGAGCCCCACCTCCCATGCTCTATCCAAAATCACCCGCCACCTTCCCCATCCAAGATTAGGAATGTACCTTACTCTCCACTTCAACAGAGGAAACAACCATTCATTCTAAATGAGCACCAAGATCTAGACAGGTCTTTGCAGCAATTAAATGGGAGGAAGGAATTAGCTTCTAAGTTACAAACAACAGCAGAAGCACTTATCCCACCCACTGGCAACCTTCCCCAGGTCAGCAAGGACTCCCAGACTTACAAGTTGGTCTCCAACCTTTTTGGTGATTCTATGAGCTCCAACATCCAGGAGCACAAAGAGACAACCACTAGAGATGAACAGCAGCATGGCTGTTCCTTAAGACAAACAGTATCCCAGGATTTGATGCAACTTCCAGGCAAACTGACAGTGAACGGTCAGCGCCAGGCACAGTGCAAGCACGAACTCTTAGCACAGACATCCCAGCCTTCTGCCATCCCTTGTAAAGGCAGCAACTGTGTGCAGAAGATAGACCTAGCAATGGTAGCACTGAATGACCCAAGCAAGGGTGTAGAGCATTATCAGGAAAGGGATCTGTCTGAAGATCAAGCCTGGAGTTCAGGAAGCACCCTAGTGAAGGGGTGCAAGGCCAACCTTTCAGAAGGTGACTGTATCATCCCCAAAACATCTCAGAACCAGACAAGCAGTTATTTACCTAATACTTCAAACAAGAAACATGTAGAAAAAGTCCTGACATTCCACATGGGCAGGAAGTTGAACCAGATGAAGGAGGGCATGATCCCAGTGTGTGTGCGGCAGTCCTGCCTCGCTGCTAGCCATGCCTCTCCCAAACCCAATGCCCATGTCACATCCACCAATCAATCATCCTACAAGTGTTTGCCAGCCATCGCAAACACCTCCCAGGAGCTTTCCTTCCTGGATGCCCAAACTCTCCTGATTCTAGAAACGCATATTGTGAGATACCGGGTGAGGCACAAGTGGGATCCACAAATGCAGATCAGTGACCCAGGGACTCTCAACTTACATGAGACTCCAGCCTTGCCCTTGGTACAGCCTGCCATTTCCTCCCCACCTTCCACAGACTCTCAGGTGAGCTCCATTGCCAAGGTGGCTAATAGCCAGGAAGATCTTCAGGAAGGTCTAGTGGAGAAGATGGTTAAGAAAATGCTATCTCCCACAGTACAAGATCCATTTTCTGTCCATAAGCCTACAGAGCTGCTAAAAACTCAGAGCAGTACTCTATCTGGTGACATCCATGGGCCAGCAGAGGCTGCTCCATCTAGACAGGACAGTCTAGACGTTCAGTACCCCAGAAAGAACAGGCCTGTTCTGGAGACTGGACAGGGAAGACTTAAGCCAAGTCCAAACTTAGCAGTGTCTATGCATGAGCCAGGAGAGATGAGTGGCAGCATAGCCTTCGAAGAGCCCTGCCTTAGCAGGACATCTCCATACATTAAAGGAATGTCCCAGCTTTCAGTAGCTGAGACAAGTGAGACAGTTGAGATCAAAGAGACACCTCCTCCAACTGGGGGAGCCAGTGTAATAGAAAATTCCAAAATAATGAATAATGGAAACATTTCAGGGTCTCCTAAGACCGAGAAAAGCTGCTCCCCATCTAGCAGGTCTATTTTGCAAGACCCAGTATATACAGACCTGAAATCTTGGGTAGTTAGCGAGATTCAAAAACAAGTGGAACTCAAATTAGAAAAACAGTTCCAGCACCAGAAAGCTGGGATCTTTCAACATGGCCATACTGACAAACTCTCCACCCAAGTGAGCCTGCCTTCTTGGGCCTCTGGCTCTACATCCCAGATCATGACTGGCAGCAAAATATCAACTCCTCAAATCAAGCGTAGCCTCAAACTGGGGACGAGGCCCAGCCAGGAACAGCCAGAAACAAAGAGCTCTAGAGCTCAGGTTACAGGAAAGAATCAGAGTAAAATGTTCACTGCCTCCGATGGAAGGCAGGGCTGTAGGAAGCTTGCATCAGGACTGCCCGAAGAAAGGCGGGCAGTGGTGAGGCCTTCCCAGTCCTGTGGGCTCAGCCCCCTTGTTGAGGTTAATGAACAAGGTGCCATTGGGAGAAAGTCATTTCCAACTTCCCCACAGAAGGCACACAATTCTACAGAAAGTAATGTCCACAAAAGGGTGCAGAATTTTCTGCACTTTGCCAATGCTAGTACCAAAGAGAGAAGGCAGAATAACCCCCTGCCAAAAGCCAAATGTTCATCCGTTCTTACCCAGAGGAAACCATTCATGCACAGTGTAACAACAGAAGCCCAGACACTTATGACGGCTGTTGGGAAGATTGTGGTAGACAAACTGGGACTTCAGCATGGTGATGGTCCACCGGAGGTGCATAAAGGAAAACCTCAGACACTGCTGCACAGACATTTCAGCTACCAGACAGGTTCCTGTGACTACCAGGAAAGCTCAATGATAGGAAATAAGGGTCATGGTCACCAGACTGGTCACAAAGATCCACGATACCCCCCTATCAAGATCAAGTGGGCTGCAGACAGGGTCAGAGATGTCCAGAGAGCTCGTGTCTGCAGCCAGCTTCTGCCAAAGTAGACTATGTGGTGTAATTATCTCAGACCACATTCCTAGTTAAATAACAGACTGTTCCAAAAAAAAATGTGTCCTATCTGACTAGAGCATGTTTATCATGGCTCATGGTTGAGAAAAAGGTTATTGTGTGTTCTAAAATGTGCAAGACCTGAATTTACTAATGGCTTTTCTTTAAATAAAATGTGTACCACTTTTCTATAAATTTGTTTCATTTTTAAAATGAAAGAGATGATCTTTCTGTGCCAGCTTGGGTGGAAGGAAGGTCAGCATGTGGTTTTCCTAGAAGCTTCTTTAGAAGGTATGGTGGTGCATGGGACAGTGGTTCTGAGGACCAACGCTTGCACCAAATTTCTCTCTCTTTGCTCCTTATGCCACACACACACACACACACACACACACACATGCACACACGCACACGCACACACATGCATGCACACACACACACTCACATAAGCACGTACTCTTCAGGACAACAGAAAGCTTTTAGGATTTGTCAGGATGAATGAATTCAGGATCTTGCTGAATCTTTCTTTCATCCTGTTTCTTTTTGAGAAGACTTTGTGCACTTTTGTGCAGAGGCATCAGACAACCTAGATGATGCTGTTGTCTGATTAATAATCAACCACCTACAATTATTAAGAATCCTTAATGTACAATTATAGAGTAGATGTCAAGTACCAATCAGTGCATTTTCTTAACATTTCACCATATTTTAATCATTATTTAAATTATTTAATCTGTGATATTTTCTCTGGGGTCTCTGTTAAGATCTCTGTGAAGTGGCTAGGGGGCTCTGAGAATTTTGGTATAGGCCTCTCTGGAGTCTTTTCAGGACTCTGAAGTGTTATGTAGGAGTTTCAGTGGGGGTCTCTAGCGATTGCTGTGGGTGTACCTCATTGTTCTCTCAGAAGTCAGAACTGACCACACCAGAGTCAGAAGTACTTGCCCCTCACTGCATCTGTTTAATCAACATTACTGTCTATAATAGAGAAATATCTCTCTGAATGCTGACATTTTCTGGTCTTTTTAAGCTGGTCTTTAGGCAGGTGAGGTGTGGAAGCATGGAGAACCTCGATGAAGATTTCAGGCCAGCTTCTTGAGCCTCTTAAGTTCCTACTCTTCTGAAAGTGATGCTGGGTCCATCCATCTGAGGTGAATCACAACCTGAGTACCCTAGACTTGGTTTTTCCACTAATTATCAATTCCTTTTTGAAATCCAATAGGTGATTTGGAGTCTTTTCCCCTGGAAACGATTGGGCATCCCCAAGCCACTGCTTGCTTCCCTGGCTCCAAAGCGATCTACCTTCCACATTCTACTCTAGGTTTAGTCTCACAATTAGCTGGTTACTACACATTTCATAAGACAAATGACAAACCCTTATCTGTGGCACCTACAAGCAGAGGACAGTAATCAGGACTCTTCTCCTTGAATCCCCTATGGAACCCCTCTAGGCAATTCAGAAAGCTTCCAACGAGAGCTCAGATTTAATCAAAATAGAAGACAGAACCTTCCAGAACTGTCCAGCCTGCCGTGTGAAGGAGCAGAGGCATGGACAGAGCAGAGGCAGGGACAGAAGACAGAGACTAGGAAATAGCAGTCAAGGACAGAGGGCAGACAGTAGGAAACAGCAGACACACCATATTCAAGAGAATGGCATGTAATGAAGACAACAATAACTGCATTTACATAAGTTAATGGTACAGTAATCCTCTTTTATTCATAGTTTCTCCCTACCCAAGACAGGAGTTTTTTCTGTGGAATTTATCTCAAGTTCAGAAACAAACAAGCCAGAAATACAGTTGTGGCTCAAGTGGTAGAGGACCAGCCAAGCCTGGGGCTGGGAAGGTGGCTCAGTGGTAGAGTGCTTGCCTTGCATGCATTACGCCCTGGTTCCATTCCTTAGCACCACATAAGCAGAAAAACCCAGAACTGGTGCTGTGGCTCTAGCCTTGAGCTGAAGTGCTGAGGGACAGTGCCTAGGCCCAGAGTTCAGGCCCCACAACCAACAAAAAAGGAATAAAAAAGCCAAGTATGAGCGTAATGCCCTGACCTCAAGCCCCAGTACCAGCACAAAAAAGTTTAATAAAATTAAATCTAGTATTACAGATTAGCATCCTCATGGTTTACACTCATTGGTCATGCTCACAAATTATCAAAAATTGACGAAGTCCCAGCTACAAAAACAAGAGATCATCATGCATCAATTTAAATTGGTCAGTTTGGGGAGGGGGGGAACTTCCTTCTATTGCATTACTTCTGAGGTTCTGAATCATGAACCTTTATCAATAGAATAAATCTATTTATTAACCATGGCTGAAAAGGCAGTGCCTCTTTTTGATTCTTCTCTCTTATTACCACATGAACTTCTGGAGCACAAACCCAAATCATAGCCACCCACATGTCTGTGATTTATTTCAAAGTACCACACCATTTCTTACAGGTATACAGAGAAAAATAAAGCTCAATTTCTAAAATGATATGCATGCATTTGGGTCTATAAAACGTTTAACAAATAAAGCATACAAATTTAAAGCTAATAGCAATAAGGAGAGAAAAAAGAATTATCTGAACCTAGTATCCAGGATGGAATGCTGAGAGGTAGTACTCTTCTGCTCTGTAGAACTTATGAGAGCATGCCAGGCCGGAGTCTGCTGGAGAGAGAGACAGAACCCCAAGAGGAATCAAGGGGAACACAATAGATGGACTTCAAAGAGAAGCACCATAGTAGACTCCTGAACCATCACTTCTCTAGGGAGAATCTTTTCTGCTCTTTCTAAAACCAAAGTTAGCCCCATAGAGGGGACATGATTGTGCTCACCATACCTTGACTGCTCTAATGTTAACACCTGACATTTATCAGAATGTTTTCCATAGGTCAGAGATGTAGTATATTTGTGCTTACTCCACATTTCAGGAAAGAAAATTTAAGGAGTCTCAGCCACACCAATTGCAAGTAGTGCAGAGTATGGGACCCATGTCTTCATGTGCAAATCTGTACTGCAAATACAAGCCCCAAACCATGGCCTATCTCAGTCCCATGGAGCCAGAACCTTCTCTCTAGTAAGCTGATAGCTAAAGTGTTACAGATTTGAAGAGGAGGACTGGCTGTAAAGACAGCCATACAGTAGCGGCCTCAATGGTGGCTCTTGATGTAGGGACATAGTGAAATGAAACCTACATTTAGACATACTACTTCTGGGGTTTGAGAAGTGTCCAATTTTAAAATCAATTGACCTCCAGAAGGCACCTCTGGATGTATTTCTTCTAGTATTTCCCTCTCACATGCATCTACCCACTCATTCCCTTAAAGCAATTTTCTTTTCATTTGTCTTTCATGGGGCTTGACCTCAGGGCCTGGGCACTATCCCTGCGCTCTTTCACTCAAGGCTAGTGCTCTACCACATTGAGCACAGAGCCTCTTCCAGTTTTCTGGTAGTTAATTCTAGATAAGAGTCATGGCTTTGAACCATAATCCTCAGATCTCAGGCTTCTGAGTATCTAGGTATGAACCCCAGCACTGGACTCCTTAAAGCAGTTCTTATGCTGGAACCCGGTGTCTCCCTCCAGCCCCACAGATGGTGCCCCTCTCTACATTGGCTGCCCCTTTCCACAGTCCAGTGTACCTGGGGCCAGTGTAACCTTGGTTGGTTTGTCTAGCACAGTGGCACTGCCACTTGCCACTTGGTTGGTTTGTCCAGCACAGTGGGCACAGCCACCTCCATCCAGCACCAAGGCACAGCATGAACCTGAACAACAGACACCATTCCCTGTGGGCCCCGATCAGTGCTTGGCACTACCACTACCACTCAGAAAGCCACAGGTGGGCAGCCATGGAACCTCAGACACAGACAGACCCGGGGTGTGCTGCTCCTGGATGCCAGGGTGCAGGCAGCTGCCAGCAGGAAGATGAAGAGCTCAGCCAGCCCAGGTAAGCTGAGCTCCAAGGAGAGATGCTGGGCTCAGGCATCATCTAAGCCTGGACATGAGGTCAAGCTTGTGCCGGGTCAGGGCATCAGGATGCCAAGTGAATTTGAGAGGCATGCAGAGGCACAAGGGGCATCATCTGCACTAACCAGAGGTTGGACCGCCTCACTGGTGCTCCAGTATTTTGAGAGAGAGAGACAGAGATAGAGACAGAGACAGAGAGACAGAGAGAGGACAGAAAGAGAGAGAGAGACAAAGAGACAGAAGAGAGAGAGAGGGAGAGATAGAGACAGAGAGACAGAGACAGAGAGAGGACAGAAAGAGACAGAGAGACAGAGAGAGACAGAGAAAGACAGAGACAGAGAGAGACAGAGAGAGAGAGAGAGAGTTTGTGCAAACACAGGCTGCCATATCTTTTGAGTTCTCACACCTTGGGAGAAGTTTTATTGCAGATGTGAATTGTGCTCTGAGAACACTTATAAGCCTGCAACTTGGTGTCACCTCCTGTGTAATGTTCAATTACAGATCTCTTCCCCATTATGGTTCAGTCTCCTTTTCATCCCCTGTATTCTGGAAGCGGTGTTTATGTGTGTTCCTGCCTGAGCTGGTTTGTGATTTCACACAAGCAATATGAAGTTCCTGGGCGATTGTGTATCTCCAACCTTTGGTAGATTAGGAAGAATCCATTACACTCTGGAGGTATAAGTAAGGACCATGGAGCTAGTTCTATTCTAGAACATTCCTGCAGTGAGTGGTTTCTGGATGTGACAGAAAAAAAACTGCCTCTTTTGGGTCTGCCAGGGCTATTTTCTAGTATGTCTGTTGAACATCCCTTCAAGAGTGCACTCAGTGCTGGCTTACAGCGTTTTCTTACACTCACTGGAAAGGTGCATCTCCCTTTGTCTTCTCTTGCTCTCCAATGGCCTGTGCTGGGTGCCTCAGTTGGTTTCACTGGGCTGAACTCTAAGCATGAAACATTCTTTCAAATTATGTAGATTAATATTGTGTAAAGCAAGCCTGGGGAGGGCTGCAACTTCTTTACATTTTTTTCCAAATGCTTTTTGAGAAACTAACTTGA